CAGCATCAACGTAACGTCAGGACTAGCGTAATATTGTAAATCCGCCTTTATACTGACAAAATGTGACAATATCATCGTGGGTTGTCACACCTGAACATACACAATGCTATGAATATCATTAAGTGGTACATCAAAGGAACCACAAACTTAATGAACCATGTCCTAGTATAGTACTGTACATTGAAAAATGAATTTATTATTATTGCTGGGTTTTTAATGCCACACGAAAAAATTCCAGACACTCAAGATCATTTCACTTGCAAATTCTCTCTCCCTCCATTTCTATTATATCTATAATCTGTACATGTATTTCTCTCCCTCCCCCCTCTCTCTCCCTCCCTCCCTCTCCCTCTTCCTCCCTCCCTTCCTCCCTCCCTCTCCCTCTTCCTCCCTTCCTTCCTCTCTCCCTCCCTTCCTCCTTCCCTCCCTCTCCCTCCCTTCCTCCCTCTCTCTCTCCCTCTCTCCCCCATAGTCTCCTCTTCATTGTTAATATAGATCATTCAAAAGCATTATAAGTATGTACATGTACATGTACATGTACAGTACCTGTTGTATTTCTCTCTTTCTCTTCTCCACCATTGCTGTCTTTGCTGTTAGGAATTCCTTCAGTGTCCTGTTCTCCATGCCCATGTTACTCAGTCTCTCTCTCATCTGCTCCAAACTCTCCATCTTCTTATCAATCTCCTAATAATAGTACAATAATAATCATTAATGATTGATTATTACCATGTATATTTACATGCTATGTACATGTATGTATGTACATGTATGACGTACATGTATGACTGACATGCAGAAAGTTTTATTTGATTCAAATTAATGGCTTTTGGCCATATCAAACATACATGTACATGTACATATACATATACATGTACATGCATGTACATTTACCATATAGCATTAATACAGTTTTTACCACAATAATAACAAACATTATTAATAATAATACATACATGTATATAGTATACATATTATGTGTGACTGTGAGATAGAAAATGACAGATAAATCTTTTTCTAAAATGTTTCTACATGTACATGAATAACTCGTAATCTTTCAGACATTAATTGATACACATACACTAATAATTAATGTGCATACATGTACATGTACAAGCAATTAAATATCTACAATGTACATGTACATTACATGTATTTCTTACTGAGTTCTTCTCTCTTGCTATTTTAAGTTGTTTCCTTGTTAATAGTAATTGTCCTGTCTTCTCCTCCAGCTGTCTCTTCACTGAGCTGGTCTCCTCCATTATTCCTGATAGTCTGGTCTCTAGTGATGGCATCCTTTTGGTCAGTTCCTTGACCCTCCCTCTCTCATTGGTGAGGTTATACTCTAAACTGTTGATACTGGACTCACGGGCATCAATAACACCATGAGCATTCTGTAACAGTAATTTATCCTGATCCAGTAATTTTGGGCAACAGTCCTGGATCAGACATGGTAGTTGGCATAGCTTACTCTATTATCTTTGATCCGTAGATAATAGAGTATATGGTCATAGATAATAGAGTAAATGAAAGGGATTGGAAACAGGGCGTAGCAACAGGAAATGCGGGTTGGGTTACCACGTGACAACCATGAGTGTTTTGATTGATTTCCCATATCCTCCATTGGTGAAGTTGCTCTGGCAGGATTTTGAAGGAAATTTGTGCTGCTCCAGGATAGCGCTTGCTTTTGATATATAGCCTATTCCACATAGAATTTTTAGAGCTACCTGTAGCAAGGTTTTTATCTCCAAAAAGCCATTTTGCAACCAGTTAGAGGTACACAAAGTCGCCTGTTTTTGAAACACTTTATCGTTCGTAAAACACTCAAGCTTCATTGTATCAATATGCAAGTTAGCTCATTCCATAGGAAATTTCAACCTCTTTAAAAGCGGTTATACTTATTCGTAGCTCAAGAAGAAAATG